CTACAAGCATGCTCGGTGTGAGGGATTGCTGAAGAGTCAAGGAGTTAACGCAATCAACTGGTTTTCCTTAATACTTTTAATCAATCTGACTGGATGATCTGGTGAACTGTAAAGTGCCTTGAGATGACATGTTTTGTAAATTGGCGCTATAGAAATAAACTGAATTGAAGGTTTTGCTAGGATATTTAAAAAATTGTTAAAGAAAATATTTGGTACATTTTACTGTAATGCCAATACAGTGTTTCCATGGTAATGGAAAATCCTCTAAAATAATTAAACACATGGTTACAGAAATGTTGCCCGAAGGTTTTGGAATTTGGACACAAACCGATTCTGGGAGAATATCATCAAAATTGAACCTCACAAAAATATAAAAATTTAATGCTTTCAGGTAGTTTAAGGCAGATTGAATCCTGTGTGTCTTTAAAGCACATTTCTTTCACGTTTTAGTGAGGAAAAAGTGAGTAGGAATCAGGCAAATATGCTTCCAGGACAGATCAGTCACAAACCAGTTCCAATATGGTGAAACAAGAATAGATGTCACCTCCCTATGAAGGAGGGATCCGATCGACTACAATTCTGGAGTCAAAATTGAAGGTTAAACCCATCATAAAAATGACAAAATTAGAAAAAATGCTGAGGAGAAAAGTTATGCTTAGAGATAAATCACCAAGACAAAAAAGCCAGGTGGTGAAAACTGGTGAGCTTAAAAGGAAGTTTCTGTACATCAAAATTACAAACCAAGATAAAGTGTACAGCCCCAAATTTAGAAAAATATAAGGGCATAGGTGTCAAAAATATTAATGTTTATTACTCAAGTGGAAGTATAAATCCTGCTTAAAAACACCTCATAGGTAAATAGGACAATCTTTTATTTCCAGTTGGACCATCTAAATCAGTGGTCCTTCTAAATGTTAATCATTCGGGTGATATGTTTATATGATCTGTGGTTTAGCTATGCTTTCAGACAGTCATTGAAGCTCACCTTTCTCACCAAAGGTCTTTGAAAATGTTTGAGGGTCGTAAGAGAAAAAGTGTCTACAGTGTGTATGAGAAGAAAAGAAAGGCCTCAGAAGAGGCAGATATATCCCAGAATGCTTTGTGCGGAGAGCTCTCCGTACAAATCATTCTATTTCTTATGAACATATTCCCAATCATTATGTTTGGTCAGGTTATTTGTTATTTGTAGAAATTAATAAAAATCTTGTGTGTGTTGTCCTAAAGTATTTTTCATATTGGGTAAATTTAAATCCCCATTTTCTTTCTGGCTTTGTTCACAGAATCAAACTAATGATACATACCAAGCTGTAGCTACAGATATATACCATCCTGAATAATACAGTGTAATCATCATAGGTTTTTCCTTCCACACACATGGATATCTAAGGGATACCCGCTGCCCTGAAAGATTTTAGATTTTTCATTTGGTTGTCTGTTGTCTTCTTTTTGCTGAAATGTTCTGTAAAGGTTATATCCCCTGTTATGTCTGTCATGTCTCTGTTATGTTCTCTGTTTTATGTTCCTGTCATCTCATAAAGGTGTGTGAGCAGACTTCTAAGAAGTACCATGTCTTCTGTGTCGTCTATTTTTGCTGTTTTGTTTTATTTTGTCTCTTTTCCTGCACTCTTTCCTGTCTCTATCTTTTCTCTCTCCCCTTAGTTTTATACCATCTTTTTTCTCACCTTCCTTTCCATCTCAATCTCCATTGTATACATTTTTATATAAAGTTTAATATAGAAATATCAGGAGGAACCTTATGACAACAGTCATAATGGTCTGCTGGTGAAAGCAAAAGTGTTGGGCTATCGTCTGGCTCTGGGACATCTATACCCAAAGCTATATTGACAAAATAGGACAGAAAAATAACAAACTCTGGGAGGAGATGGGAAAAAAGGTTAACATGAGCATGCAGAAACAGATTTATACAAGAGTAGGAGAGAACAGGCACAAAGAAAGCAAGCCACTAGAGCAGAAAAGGAGCATGTGCTCATGCTTGTGATTATTGAGGGACTCATTTTATCAAATCTGCTCAGATAAAACTTTCAAAATGCATGTGGAGAAAAGTTTACATGGTGGTGTTTTAAATAAAGTAATGAGTAATTTTTATGTGCAGTGGCTCTTTGGCAGAATTCTGACTTCATGCTCTAATGTTACTTAATAGTTGTACTAGTTATAGTTACAAGTTACCCCCCTGAAAAGAAGGTTAGTGACTCAGTTAGTGCTTAGTGAAAGTAACTAGTTATTGGCCAAGGTGACTATGTAGTTACACAGTGAGTCTGGTTTTGCTGAAGTTCCTTGTTTTGAAAAGGGAGTTTTTCACCTTTTGCTTCATGCATTCTCCGTGTGAAGGTTGGCGCTGTGGACCCAACAGACAGATGCAAGTGTATTTCGTTGGTTCAAGTGTCATGAACTTGGCTTTGATGGCTAGCCTAATAGCTCATTTCATTCACCTGCCTAACTCTGCCTAGTTTCCAACTCTGTTTATCTAATCCACCTGCTGCTGCTTCTATTTATACTGCTCAGTCCCAGCCATCATGATTATTGATGCTATTGCTCTTGTTCATTTTCTCATTCTAAGGGGCCAGTGGAGAGAGGGTTTTTTTAGTGTAGGAGTGTTTCTGATTTCCTGATCCTGTTCTGCCTCTCAACCACTGAGCTTGCTCTGTTACTGTCTTGGCTTAGTGGAGAGAACTTTTTGTTAGCGTCCCGTAGTGCTCCTGATATCCCAACCTGGTCTCTGACCTTCTGCCTCCGAGCCACTGAGCCTGTTCCCATCTGAACATTCTGCCTGAACCATCTGTGGACTCCTGGAACCCTGAACTAGCCTGTTCCTATTCTCATCGGTATCCCTGTCCAGGCTCCGGACTCTTGGACCTCTGAGCCTTTCTGTTCTGATCTGTTTCCCTGATCTGGCTCGGATGCCTGCTCGTTCTCTGGGGCAGGGCCGGCGATTGCTATAGGCGAGCTAGGCAATTGCCTAGGGCGACAAATGTGTTGGGGGCGCCCTCTATAGTGTCGCCCTTAGGCTTACTTCCCATTAATCATAGAATTAGAAAAAAAAGCGAATTAAACCGGTTATGAAGCGTCCGTCAGTTTGACTTAACCTTACGTATATATAAATAGCAAAATATGAACAAATAAATATACCACTGTTTTTTTATTTATTTTTTCACATTTAAGAGAAAATCGGAAAAGATTCTGATCACTTTTCAAGCGCCCTCCATCCCGGAAGTCGTGACGTCAATCACTGCAGCATGTACACCAATATTTTGGAATGAAATTGTAAGCAAACAGATATTAAAAGTAAAACTAGTGAAGTCTGGCAGTTAACTCTGCTCACGAATCGAGGATGGCTGAACGGAAAAGACTCCTCCTCCTCCTCCAGCTGCTGCCGCAGTCGGCCCGTCTTCATCATCCACTCAGAGTACCACTGGTAAGCGCGCACACAGACTTTGTAGCTTGTCCGGTCAGTTAAAAATATTAATTGTGAAATCCGTCTTGTAATCGGAAGCATACAAGCTAGTTAGCTTGAAAAGTAAATAAAGTTTCAGACGTGCTGCGTGATGATGTGTTCAGATTGGCTCAGTAAAATGACAATTAGGTTATCATGATGCGTTCAAGTGTAACGTAAAGAAAACGGGAAATTTTGTTTTTGGCGAGAAACATGAGTAATACAGTTGTATATTGCTCTATATATAATTAAACTACTGATGCCAACATTTATTAAAAATTACATTTAATTTAAAATACAATTATTTATTTGTTAAATATTTTCCTAATCACTAAAAACATGATGAAAAGTGACAGTAGACAATACATTAACCAACAATTATGAAAATATATTCTAGTTAGTTTTATGTCATTTCAAAGTGGCCTATTACATTAGCCATGTTTATTGAAGGCTAGAAACGTTTTTGTTATGCTCACTTATTAAGCAATAGAAGCAATACCAATTCTGTTAAAAAAATTTTGTTGCATCGTCTTTCCACCAAATAACAGAAAAGTATCGATAGTGGTATCGATAAAGACTCGGATCGATAAGGAGTATCGATAAAGGTATCGATATCAATAAATATTAACGATCCCCATCCCTAATGTTGACATAATTTTTTTCTCAGTATATATGCAGCAGAATTATGTGCTATATTATTAGCTTGAGAATGGGTAGAAGATACTAATATAAATAAAATATTTTGTAGTGATTATCTGCATTGAGTATTCAAAGGGGATGTACAAATAATGATCAAAATATATGAAGTTATGGCTGTTCATCATAGAATATGTGAACAAAAAAAAAACAACAACTTCAAACTTTTAATTTTGTAATGGTATTCATAAAAGCACTTTTGTTTGTAGAGGGTTAATCCTTTCTTTAATCACTAATCAATGTCAGAAATCAGGGTAAATATACCTGATATATTTTATTTAGAGGAAAACTCAATCTCAATCTCGCCTAGGGCAACCAAAGGGCTAGAACCGGCCCTGCTCTGGGGCTTTAGATTCTGGTACACTCTGGGTGGCGCCCGTTGCATCTGTTTGGCAGCCCACCGGCTGAATCCTACCTCATTCTATGGAGATGGACTGAGCTGTTAAACCTGTTAAGGGACTCGGATGGATAATCATCCACTGTCAGGTTATCATGGTCATTTACCTGTGTTTTTCTCCAACAGAGTTTCCAGTCAAGACGCTCTAGCTGCTGATACAGTGGATTCACAGCCAGGCCTGTTTTTAATAAACATTTTGAGTTATCCCCCGGTCTGTCTCGCCTTGAATACTGGGTCCCTCTGTCCTGTATCATGATACTAAGCTCATACAGGGGAGGCATGTCCTGCAAGTCAATAGCTCAATGCAATCAGCTGGGGTTCCTCGATATAAAACTTTTCACCAATCTGAGGGAGTTGATTGAGTTGTCTCTGTAAAGTGCTTTGAGATGCATTGTGAATAAACTGAACTGAATATCAGAGCAACAGATCTGTCATGGATAGTGAATAACATCTGACCTCAGGACAGTATCCTTGCACTTGGTTTTCTGTTGTTATCATTTTGGTGATGATGCAAAAGACAGAACCTCCCTGCAGAAACATGGATAGTGTGGTTCATCATTTCCAGGCATCTGTCTGCTAGTTTCTTAAAACCACTGACCCATACCTGTGTAGGAGTGACGTAATCTGCAACATCCATGACTCTATTATTGTAGTTTCCAAAGCCTTTGACCTTGGTCATAACCGAGGACTCTATAGCCGTGTCTCTCACCTGGTAGGCCTTTTCCCAAAGGAACACCCATCTGAAACACACAAAAAAAGGCATACAAACATGAAAACATACTATTATTTCAAAGCCTAAACCAAGTAAAGTTTAAACTAAATTAAAAATGAAATGTGAAATCAGATATTTCTTTTTTGCAGTTACTGCCAACATTCCTACAGTTTCGCAGCCTTAGACTGCCAGAGAGAGGTACCAGCCCCACCCTGATGGAATAAAGGGAAGAGGATGGATGGATGGGTTGTTTACTGTTTAAAGCACAGAATTTGCTTTGTAAGAATGCAGCTAGTTCCCTGGTGTAAATTGCACAGACTGACACTTGGTGTTTCCACAATACTTCTCTGCAGCTTCTCTACTGGGTAAACTCATTACCCCATCCAGACAGTGTCTAGCCAACGACCAAGAAACGGTAAGAAAAAATCCCAAAGGAGAAAATCATGGTGATCTAATAGAAAGGAACCTAACTGAAGAAAATATATATTTTAGATAAGAAATGTTTTTGGAGATATAAGAAATAAATATTAAGTCAAGCTAATCAATTTCAAAGGGGCCTGCCATACACATGTTCCTTTTTGATGTTTGACTGGAGTGTCAGGTCACGTTTGGTTTCTTTCATTTCTACAGATTTTATAAGAAGTACACAAACTAGATGCTGATTGTCATGCTTAGAGCATCATCTTCTCTTATGAATGTCTAACTGGGACCTGTATTTACTTTGAAAGGGTTTGTATTTTAAGTCCTAATCAACAGGTGGTAAATGTATGCCTATGTAGCCAAATATATGTCTTTTGTCTGTGGATTTATTCTTCACTGTCTTAAAGATATACGAAGGCGTAGAGTTCAGTCCACCCTTTTTTATCTGACATACATTGTATAATAACACTCAGCAAAATACATTCAACACAGCAAAAAAATATCCACCGCAACAAGAAGTATAACTGACACTGACAGCTTTTAAAATATTAACCTTTATATTTTAACAAATGAACAGCTGTGTTAGGAAGCCAGTTAGTGTGGGTTGTTTTTTGTGTTTGTCTCTCCCTCCACCACCAGGTGGTGCCCTGTCCTCGTTGGCCCTCCTGCACACCTGCAGCTCGTTGGTTCATCACTGAAGAATATTTGAGCCGTTGACTGCCACTACCTCAACGCCAGAGTGTTTGCCAGTTTTGGGTACTCTAGCCAAGCTGAGATTAGCTGAGTCTAACCTAAGCCTTTGTCTCTCTGAGATTAACACTGTTTTTGTCTTTGCCTTTGGCAGGATACCTTCCTGCAAACTGGATGTTTGGCCTTCTCCCCCTGGAAGGATCTTTTGTTTTCACACTGAGTAGGGGAAAAACCTCCACACGACCCATTCAAGTTCCGTCAGAATTCCAAGTGGCAGTCCGCTCAAATAACTCCTCAGGGTCCAACCCAAACCAACCTGTCCGCCCTCCGACGAGTTGCCCTTCCTCTGGATAAACCCACACTTTCTGGATTTCAAGGATAAGACTGAAACCCCCTCCAACGTGAGTCCCGCTTCCTCTATATTCTAGAACTCAATCCAGTTTCCTACGGCCACTGAACTAACCGCTGTGAACTTCCCTTCTCACTTCTAGTTCCGGTTCATCAGAGTTCCAGATTCAACTTCCTTTGATTCTCTTCAATAAACCTGTTTAACTTGACCTTGGTTCTCTGAGTGGTTGTCTGCATGTGAGTCAGATCACTTAAAAGCATCATGACAAGCTGGGCTGTAGGCAGGGGTGTAACCATCATCTTAAAAGTGAGAGGACAATTTTATTTTGAGTGATTCCTCGGTTCTAGCATTCAGTTTCACCTTTCCTGTAAAATATCTGAGAAAGCCAAATACCTGACTGATTTCTCTCTGCAATAGATATTCAAGGGAATTTATATTAAACTTAAATGTAAAGACCCTACATCATTCTAACTGCTACCCTGGTCTATCTCCTCCCTGACTGTGATCTATTATAGCAATAAACATAAAAGTCTTCTTCCACATCTGGATGAGATGACAGGAACAGGAAACAGCAATGAGAAGACAGCAAATAACCAAAGTAAACATCAGAAAAAGCTTCCAGAGCAGCGAGTATCCCTTAGATAGGAAAATGTGTTTAATAGCAATTTTAGGCGGCCCCAGACTCACCCTACAGGGCCTTGGACAAAAAAAGAGGTGATACAGGCCCCATTATCCAGAAGCAGCCCAGATAACTGGGGCACAAGGAGGGCAGATATAGGGAGGGCTTCACGATCCAGAGAAAGGTTGATGAGAACATCCGGAGCCTGATCTGGGTTAAACCCCAAAGGGTCCCATTTCCTGATGGGCGCTGAGCTCAGAGGCCATATTGCTGAGGTCCCATGGGGCAGTGAGCCCATTGGCACGGGACTAGACGTCACAATATGGAGGCGAGCAGCAGTGTAGTCCAGGACCAGCCCTAAACACCACCCCATATCCACAGAATTTAAAGAGATTTGTGTTTATTCCAAACATAAACCAACAACTAGCAAGTCATGTCACAGAGATAGCAACTTTTAAAAATCTCTCTTAACTAGTTTAACAATGTCTCATCCAGTATAGTCACATTTAGGTCTGAAATGAAATTTTAAGGTTAGGTGAGGAGGTGTCTAAAATACTCAGCATTTTGTTATAAAGCCACAAAACCAGGTTCCTTGACAGTTATTTCTCACTGAGGCTTGGCAGGTAATCGCGGTCAAAGGAGGTCCGCGGTCAGTGCCGGGTGATCAGAAATTCAGAGAATCCAAAACAGAATCCAGGAACAAAGTCAGGGCACAGAAACAGGTCAGGGATCCAGGGGGCACAAAGACCCAGGTCCAACAGGGGCTAGGCAGGCTCCAATACCAGGAGGCAAAAACAGGTCAGGATCAGGTAAAGACACAGAGAAAGATGCTGGATGCTTACTAACCAAGGCTTTTCAGGCAATCTGGCACTGCCAACTAGTCAGAGGCCTGCTTAAGAAGGCTGGCAAAACAGGTGAGAGAAATCAGTGGTAATAAAGCTGAGCAGCAGCAGCACAGGAGGGCCAGATGAACAGTCAGAGCACAAGTGGGAGGGGAATGAAATCACAAACACTAGCAGACATCCTAAGTCTCCCGGAAGTCCTGATATAGATAGTTGTTCACGGATGCCCGCGAGTCGGATAAATTATCCCGATTTTAGACTCTGCGAGGTGCACCATGTGTGGATTAGAACTACTTCGATTGCACAGATACAACAAGAGAGGGCAGGTTATGGGGAGGTTGTGAAACCTGTGCAGCGTTTTTGTCCAAAGCGATGCTCTGATCAACCAGCGTTCCAGGCGGCTGGTTGTCAGAGAGCTGATTGGATCAGTCCGATAAGTTTCTCTGGTTACTCTCTGGCAGTCACCTAGTTACCACTCAAAGCTGTGCATCCTGGGAAACGGCAGAGGTTTAATCCTTGATTAAAAAATGAAAATATAGGACTAATTTTCTAGTGAAGGGGAGGAACAGTGGCGGATCTAGACCAAATGTACCAGGGGGCCAGGAGGGGGCCAGCGTGTTTTCATGGGGGCACAGAAAAGCATGAAATAAAAAAACAGGGCAAGAGATTCAAATATATTAAGGGAGCTGCTTGAAATTACATTTCTTTACAATTAAGTTAAATAAAAATTATATTTCTTATGAGGTCAATATACATTTATAATTTAGGAATTTTACATATTTTTGACTTAATTTAAGTTAAGTTAACTAATGTTTTCTATAAAATTTGAATTAGAACTCAGTGAGTTTAAGGCAGCTTGAAACTTCGCCCAAAAGCATATCTACTCAAGCAAGCAGAGTCAAATTGAACCTGGTCAAAGGCTTGCTCCACATCAAAGAGACGACACTTATCCGAGTCTGTGGGAATGGAATAAACAATGCTATGCAGTCTTCCAACATTAAAACAAAGAGCTGACCTTTAATGAAACCTGTTTGGTCTTTGGAAATAACTGATGGTAGAAAAGTTTCAAACCTATGGGAGAGAATTTAGGCTGATATTTTGTAAAAGAGAAATAGGTCTGTATGAGGTGCATTTCTTTGGAATTTCTTTCATCCCTTTTTCTGCAACAAGTATGATTCAAGCTTCATAAAAGGACTCGGGTAGAGAGCCTTGTTCAAAGCAATCAGTAAGGATTATCTGGACCTGGGAACTTGCCAGATTGCATTGAGGTTATGCAAGGGAAACTTCTGCCTGGGTTTTTAGTGCATCTGGTCTATTTCTAAGTTGTGATGGGAATATAAAAACTATGGGAATATAAAATTCAGCAAGGAAATCAACAAATCAACAGCCCTAGAGCCCTTAAGCAAAGTTGCTAACAGTTTATCACGTTGGTCGTTGTGCACGTAAAATTAGGATTCGTCATGTAAGAGCAAACGTTCAGCTGAATATGTTGCCAGTAAGTCCAGCTTTGATATTAGTTAAACTCTTTTTTTTTTTTTACATTCTGGGCACTGTTCAAGAGCATATTTCACATTAATTTCTTTGTGTTATTTCACTTGATTATTCTGTTCATTGTTGCCCTGTTTCTTATTTTGTTTTTTTGCTGAGTGGGCAATAATATGTCCTCTGATGTAGGCCTTAAAGGCATCCAATTCTACACGGATGGTAGTCCCTTGGGAGGAGCTAGCATCAAAATAAAAAGATATCTACTCCTGAATAAACCTTAAAAAGTTTTTATCCAACAGCAAGGTTGAATTGAAACACCATGGTCTAGTCCCAGGAGTTACATGAATGAACATGGAACTGGTCTGTGGCAAACATTTAGTATCCGTGATAAAATAATCAGTGCTTGATTAGGTTTTATGTACATGTGAGAAATATAAATACTTGCTCTTGTCAGGATTTAGAGTTCGCCATACATCACACAGTCCATACTATACTAAAAACTGCCCTCCACAGTTGCAGCACCTTTCTTCATCTTCTTTCTTGCACTCCTCAATTCTGGGTTCTTCTGCGCATTTTGAACACCTTTGCTTTCCTCGACAAACTGCTGCCAGGCGTCTGTAGCAGCCTAACTGGTAAACATTTGAAGCCTATTTTGACTCTTTCTGGTAGAACTGACTATCAGCAGTGACGTGCTTGCCACCGTTTTCCCTGGTATGTTTTTATAAAGTTTCTTTGCCTTGTCAGCCTTGCCTCCAAAAATGTTATTCTTTAATCAGTCTAAATCCTTGATAATTGGTATTCCTGCTATGACTAATGTCACTGTTTTATTCTCTCCTACGACTTTTATCTCTTTAACCTGTCTTTTTCCTAGATGTTAAACATCCAATGCTTTGTTGTTTTGCTCTTCATTATTGTTTACCTGAATTTAAGTATTATTTTTATCTCTTCTCTGACAACCTTCCTTCCCACAATTCTTTTTTCATCTGAACTAGTTTCTTCTAATTCTCCTTTATTTCCTTGAATCTAAAACCACTTTAAGTTTGGCTTTTTTGCCAGAGCCTCAAACCATTTGAGACAGTTCTCCAGCCTTCCTCATCCTCATCTACCTTGCTTGCTATTTTGTTCCATCCACCAACGCGTCAGCCAAAAAACGTTTTTCACAAACGACTGCCAGTGCGTATATCTCTCTCCTTGTTCTGACCTTTTGCCCCCACCCCAGTGCGTCTCAAATACGAAACAAAATACGAACACACATTTTGGATTGACTAATCTATCTTCAAGTATTGGGAAACATCCCAATCTGGCAACAATGCACGTAAGACAAGAAAGGTTAGCATTTAGATGCAAAACATTCAAACATAAATTCGTCACATTTAAGAGGAACATCATAGTTTGGTTTAAAGAAAGCATTTCAGTTTCATTATAATTTATAGTTTGTTGCAAGGATTTTACAGTTTGAAGAAATAGAAAATTCTTGCCAACCGTCACAAGGATGTGAATGACAAGGAAGGGCTATATAATCTGCATGCATCATTTAGGTGGTTAATACTGGATTACTTCTAGAGCTCCTTGAGTTATTTACTGTTACAGGTAGGAGCTTCAGCCGGGGAGGAAGTGTTGGGGCCGGTATGATTTACTGTAAAGAGGGCCGGCCCTCGCACACTGACATTAGGGATCACACATTACCAGTCCGAGCCTGACTGAGGGGTAGATACTGTCTCAACTATTGCCTAAGATGTTATTATAGCGACGGGCAGTGTTGTGCATGAATGTGATCAATGAACGGCGTTCACTGAATACGTTCATAATTTTAGTGAACAGTGTGCGGATCAGTTTTGAAGTAATGGACGTGAAGAGAGCGACGTTCAATCTGAGAAGTTGAACGCTCGCGTTGGCGTTCAATTGATAACGACATTTTTCATTGATAATGTCAGGTTTTACAGCACTTATTGCGCAGAGAGCCTGACAGAGCAGAATGTCTACTGCTAGTTCTAGTGTGCTCCATTCAGACTCAAAACTCACGTTTTAGTGCAAACTCTGTTCACCCGGACTTAACAAACAAGCCCTTACGTCAGCCACATCCACTTGAGATTTTAGGCCACACATGGAGCTATGTTGGGAAATATCTGCTACTGAAGTCATTTTGGATCCAGATCTTTTCAGCAGAACCTGAATGTTCCAGAATGTTTCTAAAGTTCTGTGTCATTTGGCTAAATAAAGGCTTCCCTTTACATCCAGTAAACCTTGACTGCATCCAGGATTTTCCATTTTATATACATATATATATATATATATATATATATATATATATTATCATCACACATTTAAAGGGTGAAATATGAGGTTCTATTGTGGAGGATTGTGGCTTACAAATGAACTAGTACATTTGTAGGTTTGTGAACTTGTTCATGTTTGGAAAAAAGTGAACTGTGAACATTAGCTAGTTCATTTTATTTCATTCATTTTTGCAGAGGATGAGGAGAGCCCACCTGCAACACATTAGAACTGTAAATTTACAGTCATATGTTTATATTACTGTATTATATATTTGTTTATTTTTTTATTTTATTATAATTTTTTTTTACTATTTTTCAAGGCTGCAGAAATGTCTTTTTATTTTGCACTTGTGTAAACAAAATGACAAATACAATCTGTCTAAATCTAAGTCATGTTAACTTTAAACTGGAATACTATTGCTGGCAGGCTACATGAACGCAGCTGTCTGTGAGGTAAATTTAATAAAAAGGTTAGATTTTACCTGAGCAGTTCATCCTGTCTACGCTCGTCGAATACCAAGCTAGAAGTCCCCAGAAAAAACGATGTTTAAGAGAAAATATTTTCACTGTGATTGCAAAAAAATTTATTTTAGAGGGAAAATATATTTATATATCAATATATTTTATGTTATAAAAATACTTTTACACCCTGGAAATAATTTTCAAACATCTTTTCTTTATTCTATGAAAAAATATTGTCTCTTAAAAAACTTTCACTTCAATCTCAAATCAGTTTTTGTAATTAGTTTGAGATTTTTTTTTTCTCCCCTTTATTATTTTAATTTAAAAAATATATTTTCTCCGTTCAGATGGCTTTTTTTCTTGAATTTAATAAAAACACAAAAGTAACTCTATAATGGTGAGTTAAAAGACAGTTCGGAAATCTAAATTATTGCATATTAATAACAGGTTCAAGTTTAAAAAAAAAAAGGGGAGAGGGGATAAATAGAGTGTGAGGAACATGTAACACGCAAACCCGCTTCGGTTAGGCCCATGGCCGTATGAACTTGGTGTAGCTGATTTAATGTAATCTGTCTTTATGGTCCATATCAGATTTCTACAAATGTCTGCTGTAAATACTGTATTTGGTGTATTTTATTTGATCTAAGTATTCCCAAGGTCATCATTTACTTATTTTTACTCTCAGAGTCCGGGCCCCCCTCTTAGCGGAGTGGGGGGGCTCCACACTATGCTATGCACTTGCACTGTCACTTGTGCTGCTGAGTTAGAAAGACATGTGGGTAGACAGTCAGTCAGAGCAGCAGCAGCCGCCAGGCAGTGGAGCGGCTATAGGAAATGAAGTACCTGCAGCAGCAACATTGTTTGTAAATTTGAAACATGTTATTAACAGCTCACATTGTAGGGAAAAATAGGAGGAAAATGTTACTGAAAGCACAGCCAAACGGTTTGGAAGAAATTCAAATCTGGGAGCAATTTAAGTGGGGCTACCTTTCAATAGGGATGAAAAGTAAGAATTATTTTGCCAGTCTCATAAACCCAAACCAGGTAAAAAAAACTAACGAATCTTAGATGTTTGATCTTTGCCTTTACCTTAAGAGAGACGCATCAAAACATGGTAAACAGATTTAGTTCATAATGTGTGTCTAATATAGATAAAATTTGAATCATTAAACTGAATATCTGAGAGTTTCAAGAATGACCACATGCAAACTTACCCAACAAAGTAGGAAATAATGATTAGTTGAACAATCCGGTTGATGATGCCAATAGTCCAGCTTTTTACAACCACTGACTTAGTTGTTTCATAAGTGAAGAAGTTCGTTATACATGACCACATCTTTGCAGTGTGTAGATGAAGGATGTCTCACTAATGTAGTATCAGTTCACAAAACACAGTAATTCTTATTGTAGCGTGAACATTTAAATCGCTCTTCAGTCCCAATGGGGGAAAAAGGAAACAAGCTCTGTCAAAAACATACACAGGGTGTTTCTGATCTTCACAAAGATGATCCGTCCAAAATTCCAAAGTCTCAGTGACTGCAGGCTTCCATGGAAGGAGATTCAATGAAGAGCCCTGTGCTTCTCTGCTTCCTTTGCTGTGATTTAGTCTTCTTTCCTCCTTCTGTCAGCTTCAAATTGGCTTCAGATAACGCCCCTCCTCTCTCTGCTTGGTGCTCTTTGGTTTCACATCTCTCTGGATCTCTAACCTCCTGCACCATGTTGGCAGCCAGCTGGCCAGAATAATCCTCTGCCTCTGGACTCAGGCTGTGATCATCCACTTCAATTACATTTTTTTCAATTCAGTTTCTTTATATAGCGCCAATTCACAACATATGTCATCTCAAGGCACTTTACATTTCAACCAGATCATACAGTCAAATTGATACAAAGTTTTCTATCTAGGGAAAACCAGTTGATTGCATCGACTCATTGACTCTTCAGCAATCCCTCACACTAAGCATGCTTGTAGCGACAGTGGAGAGGAAAAACTCCCCTTTAGCAGGAATAAACCTCCAGCAGAACCAGGCTCAGTGTGGGCGGCCATCTGCTGAGGCCGACTGGGGTTCAAGGAGACAGAAACAGAGACACAAAAAGCGGCTGGAAAAAGCGCCCCGTCCAGGAAATACACAGCCAGGCAGACGAGCTCTGAGCCAGCTCCCATGTCAGAGGATGAAGAGAGCACATCCAGTTAGTCAGTGGCGCAAAAACTGGGTATGCAGCGCATGCAGTGCATAGGGGCGCTGCACTGGAGGGGGCGTCAATAACCCCTCTAATAAAACGATCAATAACAGAGAGACAGCATTGATTATGCGCCCCTCTGATGCACCCCCACTGATTATGCGCCCCCTTCACCTCCCCTCCTGTCGCTCTCCCTTCCCACACAGGTGGCTTGAGCACGCGCCCCTGAGAGGCGCACTCAGGCGTGTTTTTTTTTTTTTTGGGGATGGAGCGCCAGAAAAAAAAAACTATCCGGGGCGCAAAACAGAAAAAGAAAAAGGGAGAAGGATAAAGTTGTTGGCGGGATGAAACAAAGCCTTTCAATGCGGTTGAAAGACAGTAGGCAAGTTCTGTCAGTGTATCAACAACAGGACAGGAGGGTTGTAAATATTCAGGTTAGATAAAGCTAGTCTGATACGGAGTCGTCCCATATTTGGCTGTTAAATGTTGCGTCCCCTATTGAAGCGATAAGGAATGCGATTTGTTCCGTATTTCTAGGAATATCTGATACATACGCCTGTAACAAACACATATCCATACACTAAGTGTAATAATGACCGAAATAAAACTTGTGAAATATTAACACAGGAAAGCTAAAATGTCGTGGCCAGTGCCCAGCTATGGTCCAACGCTTAGCCCTCTAGGCTGCGATTTATTCACTCATATGTATATTTCTTATTATTGATTTTTTTAATTAAAGATGAGTTGTACAAGTTTATGTGAGTATCAGACACATTAATCCAGTGTCATTATAGCCCTTAGACTGGGTGACCCATGTTACCAAACCTTTTTGGCAGGGGCAAGGGCGTAGGAATATGTTTACAATTGGGGGGGGACACATGTCGGAAATCTGAGATTCGTAAATATTCAACAGAAACATATCTTAAGTACGCTACTTTAAAAAAAGGCTATTTAATCTTTTACTTTATTCCTTTATAAATGTGTCTTGCAAAAATAATGCATTTAAAATTTACATAATGCATTTGTTCATAAGATGTGAGCATATCACCAAACAAAATGACTGGAGTCTTTTATTAAGCAAACGGAGATGTCTTTCAAGGGCTTCAGCCCTTGGCATATTTAGTGTCCGCATACGCACTAGAAAATCAAATATTTCAGTTGGATTAAAAACAATTCAGTAGGCCACAGAAGTGCAAAGTTTGATATGTTTTATTTTGTCAAACTTGCAATAATGGTCAAAAATGAATTTATATAGATTGACTGACAGAGGGAGCTGACAGTGTGGTGAAGAATTATGGACAGGGCGCTTTGAAGCATCTGGTTCAAAAACGCATTCTAAATCTTTGGTAGAAATCCATCCATCCTTCCATTTTCTGTACACCCTGTCCCTTAGTGGGGTCAGGAGGTGCTGGTGCGCCAGTCTGTCCCGACCTTTGGTAGAAATGGCGTCTTTAATTCCAATTTGCAGTACAGAACAGAGAAAACTACAGAGTTGTCAATGTTGTGTTAATCTGTTTATAGTCTAAAAAGAGGAGCCAGCAGTTTATTTGAGGAAATAAAGGTGCAGAAGTTAATTAGTTGGTTAATTAGTGGTTGTGCAGCAGTTCGCTGCTAAGAATTAAAATTAATTCTCCCTGTGGTTTTAACTAACGATCAGGAGCGCGGCAGGTATAACATCTGTCCATTTCGGGGAATCAAAACCACACAAAAAATAAAAAATCCCAGACCGGGCTAATTTCAACACAAGTTGTGTAAGGTGACTGTTACTCACACTGACGTTTCTCTTTTTTAAAAATCTGAGTAAGTCCTACTGCTGTTTAAGCCTTTTAGTTGGTGGTGGCAATGTACTGAAATGAGATATATAAAAAAAATAACATTTTGGCTAGCGTGGCAAACATCTAGAGAAAGTTAGCAGTTAAATATTGGATGAGTGATCAGCCCAAGACTACGGAAGAGGATTAGGGCCACTGAAAAAAGTTAAGTGATTATTAAATTTTATTTCAGTTTAATACAGGAAAAAAGTCAGAATTCTGACTTTTTTCTCAGAATTCTGACTTTTTTTCACAGAATTCTGACTTTAATCTCATAATTCTGACTTCTTTCTCAGAATTCTGACTTTAATCTCAGAATTTTGGATCTTAATGTAGATGGGCACCATGAAGGTAGAGATGTGGAGCATTCAGCTTCACTGACAAAGATGTGAGTTGTTTGAGAGGGCCAGTGACATATTGGTGAAAAATTACAGAATTAGGCAACTTTTGATGTGCCCGAGGGGTCCCCCTTATAAATGGAGGAGCAGAAGGTCATTAAAACAAGAGAGCTAGTCTCTAAAACAGACATGGCTATGGCTTGATGCTAACATGTTTGTTTTTAAACATACTTTTGTTATATTACATTTGTGTTGTGTTTTCCAAATAGTGTAGAAAATGAATGGTGGGTTTATAATGTTTACCTTTTATGAGCAGGACAGGAAGCAGAGAAGTGTAGCATTACCTCCAACTAGTTAAACTCATAATTATGAAGTTATTCAACAAATTCCTCAAGTAAAAAAGTGCAACTTTTATTTTTTATTTATTTATTTTTTACCAGATTTGTTGATTAATTTCAAAATTATGTATTCCTTCCAAATTTCCAAATCTGAAGAATTTTTTAAACCAATATCTACATTATTTAACATTTAGTTTGTTTTAGCAGTACTTCCTGTTATATTTCTTTATACGTATATTTTACATTTTCTTGCACAGCAAGCTCAGCAGATTTGAAATTGTGTGCTAGTGTACAAGTAGTAAATCTTTACTCTAAACATATATTCTGGTTATTTTTTTAGTTAGACCTTCTTGTTTTTATATATCTGTATAGTACCCCCCCCCCCCCCCAAAAAAAAACAAAAAACAAAACACTGTAAATTGATTAGAAATATTAATCATCTGTCAGATTTCTGAGAAAAAAGTCAGAATTCTGAGATTAAAGTCAGAATTTTGAGATTAAAGTCAGAATTCTGAGATTAAAGTCAGAATTCTGAGAAAAAAGTCAGAAGAAAAAAGTCAAAATTCTGAGATTAAAGTCAGAATTCTGAGAAAAGTCAGAATTCTTACTTTTTTACCCATGTTAAACTAAAAAAAAATTTAAAAATCAGTTAACTTTTTTTTTTTTCCAGTGGCCCTAATCCTCTTTCGTACAAGACTAAGATGACTAAACCAAAAAGATTCAGTTTCTATATATGAAAGTGAACTGACAACAAAGACGTTTTAAATAGGCAGCATCCCGACAGACCATTTTACCTCTTTCACAAGTTTCTGACTTCTGTATCGCTGTTTCCCTCTGAGTGCTCAAACACTCTCACTCAGCAGTTCAGAGAGGGGAGGGGGAGTACAGTGACGTAACGCTATGCTGCGCCTTCAAAATAAAAGCACGCTAGTTAAAAAATGTCAAAATCTAATATTTTGCGGTACAATTTTTTGGGGGGGACATATCCACCTGGCTTTTATATTGGGGGGGACATGTCCCCCCCGTCCCCCCCGCTTCCTACGCCGCTGGGCAGGGGGACACTTGAGTTTAAATGTTTTATTCAGTATCACTACAGTGGTGTTGTGATGTATCTGATAAGTCCGATCAGATGCAGTGTCCAGTCAGTAACTGTTATCCAACAAGAAGATCATTCAAATTTAATTAATTTTTATTGTATTTTGACTGCTTTATTTTTTAACCCTGCTTAACATAAAATTAATTTAATTCAGCTGTGAGGATGGAGAGAAAGAAGAGAAGATGACAGAGGAAGAATCAGGACAGACAAGGGAAAGCAACCGGTTGGTCTAATATTAGGTGGAAGTGAGGGAACAGCTACTTAATCCCAATTGATAATGTTTAAACATTATTTTTAAAAACTGTATTAAGATCTTTAATTTTTACAACTAATTTATGATGCTTTTTGACCATATGACTTAGTGGAGAACGCCATAGACAAGGGGTGAAGTAGACAGACATGAGGTCAGTGATAGAAGAGACAAGTGAGCACATCAGGTAGGAATAAATACATTAGGGAGGCAGCAAAACCTATATACCATAATGGTTTGAATTTCTGATGATCTCTCATTGTGTTCTTTTTTGGGAAAATTGGGAGAATGTGGAACAGAAAGGTGCAGATGAGGGATTGGAGCATAGAGGTTCAGATGATGAAGAAGAGGGAGAGGAGCATAGAGGTTCAGATGATGAAGAAGAGGGAGAGGAGCATAGAGGTTCAGATGATGAAGAAGAGGGAGAGGAGCATAGAGGTTCAGATGATGAAGAAGAGGGAGAGGAGCATAGAGGTTCAGATGATGAAGAAGAGGGAGAGGAGCATAGAGGTTCAGATGATGAAGAAGAGGGAGAGGAGCAGAGAGGTTCAGATGATGAAGAAGAGGGAGAGGAGCATAGAGGTTCAGATGATGAAGAAGAGGGAG